CATTCATGCATTGATTGGGTGCCTCTTGTATGCATTCCTTGGTTGTCTGATGTATGCATTCGCTGGGTGCCTCTTAAAGTTTAATTCTGGGCTCTGGCCGGGTAGTTCGGTTGGTTGGACCTGTGGTGCCGATGGGCCTAGTTGCAGGTTCGATCCCCAGTCAGGGCACATACGAGAATCAACCAATGAATGCATACATGAGGCAACCAATGAATGCAGGAATGAGGCTCCCATTCAATGCATCAATGAGAGACTCAACGAATTCATACAAGAGACAACCAATGAATGCATACAAGAGACAACCAATGAATGCATAGATGAGACACCCAATGGATGCATACAAGAGGCCCCCAATGAATGCATACAAGAGGCATCCAATGAATGCAGGAATGAGGCACCCAATCAATGCATCAATGAGAGACTCAATGAATGTATACAAGAGGCCCCCAATGAATGCATACAAGAGACAACCAATGAATGTATACAAGAGGCAGCCAATGAATGCATGAATGAGGGCCCCCAATGAATGCATACAAGAGGACAGCCAATGAATGCATACAAGAGGCATCCATGAATGCATACAAGAGGGCATCCAATGAATGCATACAAGAGACAACCAACGAATGCATACAAGAGACAACCAATGAATGCATAGATGAGACACCCAATGGATGCATACAAGAGGCCCCCAATGAATGCATACAAGAGGCATCCAATGAATGCAGGAATGAGGCACCCAATCAATGCATCAATGAGAGACTCAATGAATGTATACAAGAGGCATCCAATGAATGCATACAAGAGACAACCAACGAATGCATACAAGAGACAGCCAATGAATGCATACAAGAGGCACCCAATGAATGCATACAAGAGGCACCCAATGAATGCATGAATGAGGCCCCAATGAATGCATAAAGAGACAGCCAATGAATGCATACAAGAGGCATCCAATGAATGTATACAAGAGACAGCCAATGAATGCATACAAGAGGCATCCAATGAATGCATAAAAGAGACAACCAACGAATGCATACAAGAGACAGCCAATGAATGCATATATGAGGCCCCCAATGAATGCATACAAGAGACAACCAATGAATGTATACAAGAGGCAACCAATCAATGCATGAATGAGGCACCCAAGGAATGCATACAAGAGACAACCAATGAATGCATACAAGGCAGCCAATGAATGCATACAAGACTCCCCCAATGAATGCATTCATCAGACAATGAGTGCATGAATGAAGCACCCAATGAATGCATGAATAAGTGTAACAAACAAATCAATGTTTCTCTCTCTTCTCTCTCTCTCTCTCTCTCTCTCTCTCTCTCTCTCTCTCTCTCTCTCTCTTTCCATGAAAATCAATTTAAAAAATCCCTCAGCCGCACCGACCCGCTGAGCTCACTCACAGAGAGCGAGGCTGGTCCTAGCTCACTTACCCGGCGCCAATTGACATCTTTAGCGAGTCTCTCCTTGTTCATTAGGCATGCAGGCGACATCCTTGGCCATGATAGATGGCCTGCTGAGCAATTAAAAGGCTCATGAGGCACCTGACACATCGATTTTTCGGCCGGACTCTGTCCATTACGTTAGCGATTGAGATATCTAATTAAGATCGACTGCTCGATGTTCAGATAGATTTAGTTTGGCCCTCATGGCACATGGAGGTACTGGCCCATGAGCTCCAGTCTCACCAGGGAACAGGGGTGCCTAGCCTTGCATACAGGTGGGCACCCCGGGGTGCCTCTTGGATGCATTCATTGGGTGCCTCATTCATGCATTCATTGTCTGATGTACGCATTCATTGGCTGTCTCTTGTATGCATCCTTGGGTGCCTCTTGTATGCATTCCTTGGGTTGCTTCATTCATGCATTCGTTGTCTGATGTATGCATTCATTGGTTTGTCTCTTGTATGCATTACTTGGGTGCCTCATTCATGCATTCATTGTCTGATGTATGCATTCATTGGTTTTTCTCCTGTATGCATTCCTTGGGTGCCTCTTGTATGCATTCCTTGGGTGCTTCATTCATGCATTCATTGTCTGATGTATGCATTCATTGGTTGTCTCTTGTATGCATTCATTGGGTGCCTCATTTATGCATTCATTGTGTCTTGTATGCATTCATTGGTTGTCTCTGTATGCATTCCTTGGTGCATCTTGTATGCATTCATTGGGTGCCTCATTCATGCATTCATTGTCTGATGTATGCATTCATTGATTGTCTCTTGTATGCATCCTTGGGGGCCTCTTGTATGCATCCATTGGTGGGCCTCATTCATGCGTTCATTGTTTGATGTATGCATTCCTGGGTACCTCTTGTATCTATTCATTGGTACCTCATTCATGCATTGATGGTGCCTCTCGTATGCATTCAGATTTGGATAGTCACTCCCAGGATTGGGGCTAAACGCAGGGGTGGGCAACCTTTTGTGAGTGCGTGCCCAAACCAGCAAAATCTCTGACCCAAAGCTCTTCTTCGTGCCAACCCTAATTTTTTGAGACCATGTGATGCCGACTTGCTATCTCTTAAGGGTCCGTCTGTGAAGAACCTTGAAGAAATAATAAAATTCATCCAAGCGACAAAAAGCACAGTCTAGGATGATGACAAATACGTTTATTTTTTTAACGTATACATCTACACTGCTAGTCCGGCAGAAAAACTGGATGGCTCCGTTTGATTAGTATCAGTGGGACTTTAGCGGCTTCATCGCTGATGACGGAGATTTGACATCAGGTTTCTATTCCGTGACCTTCAGAGATATTCACGAGCTACGGCTTTCGTCCGTCAGGCTGCTCCTCTGACGAGACTTAAACAGAATTCATCCCTGAGAACAGAGATTCGCAAACATACGTGGATGAAACCAAAACCACTGGTCGGCTCTAGGAAGGCGGGGAGAGTTAAGGCCGAGGCATAGAAATTGCTTTCCTCTCTCTCGTCCATCGATGTCTGTGGTCTTTAAGAGAACGTGTTATGCAAAATTATTTATGTATCTAAGATGCACCTGCACTGAATTTATCTGAAAAATAAAAAAAAAGTCGATATTAAGAAAAAAAATTGTAGCCCTGACAGGTGTGGCTCAGTGGATATAGCGTCGGCCTGCGGAATGAAGGGTCCCGGGTTCGATTCCCGGTCAAGGGCATGGACCTGGGTTGCGGGCTCATCCCCAGTGGGGGGCGTGCAGGAGGCAGCTGATCGATGTTTCTCTCTCATCGATGTTTCTAACTCTCTATCTCTCTCCCTTCCTCTCTGTAAAAACTCAATAAAATATATATTAAAAAAAAGAATAATCAATAAATCAATAAATCATGACAGGCTCTCGGCCGAGACCCGTGTGTGGCTGAGCCCTTTTGTAGCCTGAAGAGGCAACGTTCGGATTGTTTTGTCTTTAAAAAAAAAAATTAAATTAAATTAAAAGACAAGGTCAAATACAGCACAGGGAATGCAGCCCATAATATTGTAATAATATTGTATACGGTGCCAGGTGGGTACTGGAAATATTGGGGGGCCGGGATATTGGAGGCGGGGTGTCGAGGGGCGGAAAAACACGTTGTAACGTCTATAACTTTCTAAACCGCCCTAGGCCGTTACCCCTGAAACTCTTATACTATTTCGTGTCCACGGTAATTTTTTTTTTTTTAAATGTGTTTAATTAAAGAA